AGAAACCCATAGTGGATTCTCAATACAAAATATTAATAAAGATAAAGGCAAAACTTTACCTTAAAAAAAAAAAAATATATATATATAATAAACAAATAAATAAACATATATTATTTTGAGAATATACAACAATATAACAAATTAATTAATTACAACAATAAGAAAACTTTGTATATTGTTATATTAGCAAATTTATTAGTCAAATTTATTTAGATTATATTATATTTTAGGAAAATTATATTTATAACACCATGTTATATCACACCCAATTACGTGATACAATATATTTATTTATTTTATACAATATATACTGTATATACTAAATATATATATGCATATTTAAAATTTTCTAATCGGTATTATTATAAAGTTGCTGACTTACGTATCTAAATAAACCATAAAGCGATTTTTACTAACTAAATATAACTCTGATAAACTCTACATACGTACCAAAACTCTGGTTCATAAGTAGCCTAATATGTAAAATCAATTTACTATTTACCATATATGTTTTGAACTACAGGGTCTCACGGCATTTAAAAAACTTTGTTACAAAACTGTAATTGATTGAAACTATGCAATAAACTGGTTTTTAACAAATTTGACTAGGCGATTTCAAAAGTTATTTGCATACAACGTACGTACATACGTATGTAACTGGTATATACAGTATATACGTAGTATGTATACAACTTCATATAAATTAAAGCTGGCACAATAACTTTTAAAATCGATTTCAATATACGACCTTAAGATAGTTTTATTAGCTTGATATAGGAAAAAAAATCAATATCGATCAATATCAATACTTTAATTTAAAAAAAAAAGAAGTTAAAATGCTAGAAAAGAAATATTAAATGCTGTTTTAATACAGTACTAAAAGAAAAAAAACACGATGCTATTTTTTGTTACACATCTATAAATTTTAGCCATCCTAACTATTACTTGTCTAAATTAGATTTTTTTTGTAGATACGTGTTTTGATAATGATTAGGCTCATGACAAAACCTGCAAACTCTTGACTTAGATGATTTCTTTTTGGGCTGATAATTTTCTTGTGCACTTTTAATGCATCCTTTGCATGGTGCTCCTTTTCCAACATGGTATGCAGGATTTGAAACTTTTTCAATAGAAACTAGTTCATTATTTATTTGTACAGCGACAACCTCTCCTGCATTATAATGCTCCCTTAAAATTCGAAGTTCTCTTTCTCGTGTTTCTTTTTCACATTCATGTTGCTTTTTTTCGATATAATCCTTTAAAAAAATGTCCAATTCATAATCATTTTCATTATCACCTTGTAGTGCAATCACTTGTTTTGCAAGACTCATTGTTTTATTAAAGCAAATCTTTTTTTCTACACGTTCTTAGAACTTTTCCTGATCATCAACCTAAAGCAAGTTCATCCTTGTTGGTGTACTTAATTCATGTATAACTGAAATTAATTCAGTATTATGACTTGATGTTAAAAATGGCTCTTTAGTACGTTCAGATTCTGTTACTCCATCTTTACACCATCGAATGGGCAATAGCATTATATGAAACCTTGCAAAAGTTGAATCAACTAATATACTAAAAAAGTGCTGATATACAATCCTGTAATTAATTAATAATAAAAGACAGATGCACAAATAACATCCATCTTTAAATAATACAACATGATGAATGGACCTATCCGAAGTTAAACATGTAACTTTCCAAACTTCTTGAATAGTTGAATATTTACATTCATTAATTAAAGCTGATAAGTATGATTGTGAAACGTCATATAAATTCTTAATAAAATCCTCATTACATGCAACTTCCTACAATTCAAAATATTAAACCTTAGTATTTACTCAAACAATTTTAAATATCTGAAAATTAGTATTCTAGATACATATTACTTACTTGGTTATTAAATTCAATATCACTAAATAACATTATCTGTACTCTATATATAGTAGATTCGACTATTTGTTTTAGTTGTTCTACCGCCAAATTAGGTGTTAAGTATTTATTGATTTGTTTAACAATTTGAGGAAAAACATGTTGCAGTACAATTTGATTGTTATAGTTAATTCGATTTTGAGACCATGAAATAAATCATTGATTAAGATTTTCACGTTCAATACGTTGGTGAATTGCCTCTATAACTTGCAATAATGTGGATGAGCTATTTATAGAGCTTTTAATTAGATTGTTAAGTCCCTCAACTCTTTGAGTCGACTGCATTCCACCTGTAAAGGTTTTACATGTATAAGCACATGCCCATGATTTCTTAATAAGTAATAGTTTTTGTAGATATGAGGATGCAGTTGAGTATTTATTTAAGAGATTCACAAATCGTGTTTCAAATATACTTTCGTTTAAACTATTACGCGTTAAATAAAAGTCTCGAATAAATTCTATATAATGATCACCAAGTTTGCTCCGTAGGTTTTTTAAAATGTTCTGGCCTAAATGATATAAACAAAAAAGATATTTTATATTTGGAAGACTACTAACTACATGTTTCATAGAAAGATCTTCATCCGTTATCAGTACTCTTGGTAAAATTCCAGTTGCATCCTCTAGTTGCTGCATTACCCATTGAAATGATTCGATTGTCTCATCAGGCATTAAAGCCTGTACAGCAATCCTGGTCTTATTGTAGTTATTAATTAAAACAAAAAGGCACAAAGGAAAATTGTAATGATTTGTTTGTGCTGTATTATCCTGAATAATTATATCGCAAAATCGGATCCATCTTTCTCGTTGTCCTGGATCCATCCAAAAAATCCCACGAAGTCGACTGCTAACAGGATCAATTAAAGGTTTAATATACCAATTCGGATCTGCCTCTTTGTATTCATAAAGTAGGGTTAGAAGTCTAGATGCATCATTTCCTTCTATATGATGTTCCCGCCGCAGTTGTGTCACAATATTCGCTAGATCACATGTTAAGAAAAGCTGATCAGAATATTTGGCAGAGACAAGAGATCGTATTGTTGATAAATCGCATCGACTATTGACTACTAAATGACGAATATCCTCATGACACTCATTAGAGAAATGACAATTAACAGGTGCAAAAATCATAGTATCCGGTGAAAGTTGGTGCTCAATGTGATGATTACAAAAACTAGTTATACGAATCAAACCCATAGCCGATAACAGATTAAGTTGCCAATCACAATTAAGTTTTTTTGAGCCTTTATTGTATTGATTTTGCAAGATTACTGTTTTCTTTGGCTGATATGTGCCGCCAAACTCGCATTTGAAATACAAATTTGTTAAACGTCTATTTTTATCAGTTTTATTACGTATTTTAACAGGAATAAAACCTTTTTGACGGCTGTACTGACCAACGTAATGCTCTGCAATAGGCTAATTAGAAAAGGTGTCATTAACGGCAAATACTATTTGTTCATTAATGTAAGATAACGGGCCAGGTATCTCAACCAAATGCTATCCTTTGTGAATTCCATTATCTTGTACATCCAAACTTTCAGATAGTTTACGAGAAATTTCCAAATCTGACAATATCTCAACCAAATGCTGTCCATTATCTTGTACATCCAAACTTTCAGATAGTTCATAAGAAATTTCCAAATCTGACAATATCTCAACCAAATGCTGTCCTTTATGAATTCCATTATCTTGTATATCCAAACTTTCAGATAGTTCATGAGAAATTTCTAAATCTGACTCCATAAATCTTGATTATCACAATAAATTGTTATTATTTAAAGTCACAAGAGTCGAGAAGACAAAAAACAGTAAAAATAGAAGTCAATAAACAGTTTTAAACCTAAAAAAAATATATGTAAATTAAATACCAACACTTCTTCAAACCTTAGTTTCACTTGCATATTATAGGTAATCATGTGTTAAAAAGAAAGCAGTTT